TATAAATATGACACATAAAAGTGCTACAAACTTGATGTAAAACAATACAAACATTATTAGCAGCTGAAGAGAAGTGAAATGCCATAAAAAATATATTTAAAGGACCAATATCAGTCTACGTGAATTTGAAATGTTATGGACCAGTAAATCACAAGAGTGCTGTATCAGTCAGGAAGTCCATGTGGCTGTCCCAGGATCCCCTGCAGCAACGGGGTCAAACTCGGGCCTCGGGGTCTGCTCCTCAGCCCCACTGCAGGAACCTCTGCAAGAAACATGAAGGCAAAATATTGAGTACAAAAAAAGATCCAAACACTTTGAAACACACGGAAAACACAACAAGTGTAGATGTCAACAAAAGGTGGTGGTGGGGTGGAGCGAAACAAAAGGGCCCATTTAGCAGGGGAGAGTGAAGCATCCTGGGTAATTAAAGGGAGGCATGATGAGGGGGCATTATGTGGTTAGATTTCCTGGACAACACCACACATTGTCTGCAGGAGACAAAGCCATTGTTGTGTGAGGGTACAGGCCAGTAGGATGTGTGTGTGTGTGTGTGTGTGTGTGTGTGTGTGTGTGTGTGTGTGTGTGTGTGTGTGTGTGTGTGGGGGGGGGACGACTCATATCTGCGTATCTTGAGAAACTCCATCTGACATTATTTAAAAAGGTTGTAAATAGACACATATTCTCACTGTTTAAATACGATCTCTCTGTAAAATTGTTTCCATCGTTATGTAGCCATTTCAGTAAAACATTAACGTTTCCTGCTATAAAGGTGAATATGTTCTCTAATCAAGCCAGCACTTATAAATATGAAATACAGTCTTCAGTTTTAACCTTGGCTGAGACAATAGGGCCAACAAAGTGTGTACATTATTAACAAATAATTAGCACCCAAAATATAACTACATGTTGTTGTGTTAGCAGGACACTAGTGACATATAATGGTTGTTGATCAAGTGGGATTAAGGTCTAATGTGGGGGGGAGGGGCAGAGGGCCACTACATAGGGCAACATACATCAGAAATATTTTATAATGTGGTGACACAACACTCATTCTGATAGTGTATAAGCATTTTATTACACAGCTTAGTTGAATAATCGATTATGATTGGTAAATTTTGACATTCTAGAGGTTAATTCTTGCTAACAGACTGCTGCTAAGGAGAACAGACCGTTGCTAAGGAGGATCAAGGGACTGTGTGCATTCATATCAATCCGTAGAAAGAAGTCCGGTAAATTGAACGTAAGTTGCGGACAACAAACATTAGTTTGCTCCTTCAGAAACACCTTACTAAAAGTAAGTACCTGCAAACGCCATCGGACGTCCACAGCTAATTCAGAATGCTGCAGCCCAACTGGTCTTTCATCTCCCCAAGTTCTCCCACAATACAACTCTCCTTCGCTCCCTGCACTGGCTGCCAGAATCTGCTTCAAGACACTGGTACTGGCCTACCGAGCTGAGAAGGGGACCAGCTCCTTCCTACAGTACATCTCCTCCTGCCCAGGATAAATATGCAGCTTTCAAGGCTTTCCTGCTAAAGACTTTCGAGCTGTTACGGTCGGAACGGGCCCGACGCCTGCTCGCTATTCATAGCCTGGGGGACAACAAGCCTTCTGACAACATGGAAATGATGCTCAGCCTGCTGGGTATGGAAGAACCTCATTTTTTGTTCAGAGAACTGTTTCTTCGGCACATGCCGCCGCATGTACAGACAGCGCTCGCTAACACGGCTATTACTGAGCCCCGCGCTTTGGCCGAAGAAGCCGACTGGTTCTTCCTGGCAACACAGCGTTTTACCCCGGAGGTGCTGGACCCGACACGCAGCGGCACCTTCCCAGGTACAGGCATGCCACCTAGCAGAAGCTCCGGGACCGACGTCAGCAACTCCAGCCGTGGCCTATGTTATTACCATGCATGCTACGGGGCGAAAGCGAAGATGTGTCGTCCCCCCTGCACCTACAAGGTAACGGGAAACGCCAAGGCCTGCGCTCGGTACTGGCCGCGAGCGTGGGCACATCCAACCGGCTCTTGTTCATCAGGGACACCCTCTCTGGTCGCAGACTCCTTTGTGACACAGGAGCCTAGCGGAGCGTCCTGCCGGCTACCGTGGAGGACGCCGCCGGTGGAGGCCATGGCCCACCTTTAACGTCCGCTAACGACACCCCTATTCGCACCTATGGCACAAAGACAGTGGACATGTGCTTCGAGGGTCAGCGGTTTAAGTGGGATTTCGTCACGGCTGACATCTCCTTCGCCCTCCTCGGCGCAGACTTCCTGTGCGCTCACGGGCTGCTGGTGGACGTCAAGAACAGGCGCCTGTTGGACGCGCTGACGTTTGCCTCGTTCACGTGTACCCGCGGCGAGGCCTCATTCAGTGGGCTCTCCAGCTCACTCTCACAGGGCGACAAGTTCCAGCACCTTCTCAGTGAGTTTCCCGACTTGACGCACCACCTTTTCCGCTGCCACTACCAAACACGGGTAGAGAAACCACATTGACACTGAAGGCCCCACTGTCTACGCTAGGTTCCGGCGGCTCAACCCTGACATGCTGGCAGTCGCCAAGTCGGAGTTCGTCAACATGGAGCTTCTGGGCATCATCCGCCGCTCAGACAGCCCTTGGGCTTCGCCGCTTCACATGGTCCCTTAATCAGCCGGTGGCTGGCGACCGTGTGGTGACTACCGCCGCCTTAACGACGCCACTACGCCAGACCGCTACCCGATCCCTCATATCCAGGACTTCTCTGCACACCTGGCGGGCAACCTGGTTTTCTCCAAGGTGGATCTGGTGCGGGGCTACCACAAGGTGCCGGTGCACCCCTCGGACGTCCCCAAAACTGCGGTAATTACGCCGTTTGGCCTTTTCGAGTTCCTGCGTATGCCGTTTGGACTTAAGAACGCAGCTCAGTCCTTTCAGCGGCTGATGGATTCAGCGCTCAAAGACATGCCATTCATCTTCGTCTATTTAGACGACATCCTGGTCGCCAGCTCCTCCTCCGAAGAGCACTCAACCAACACGGCCTGATTATCAACCCGGCGAAGTGTCAGTTCGGGTTGTCCTCCATCCATTTCCTCGGGCACCTCATCGGCAAGGATGGGGCTGCCCCCTCCCATACGAAGGAGAGGCCGTGGTCCGCCTTCCCACGACCCCTACAGCTCGGGCGCTCCGAGAGTTCCTCGGGATGGTGACGTTTTATCACCGGTTCATCCGCCGCGCGGCCCACACCATGTGCCCGCTGTACGAGGCCCTCAAGGACAAATCCCCCGGCCAGGCCATAGACTGGACGGCTGAAAGGGAGGTCGCTTTCAACGCCACCAAAGCCGACCTGAGCGAAGCCGCCATGTTGGCTCACCCGTCACACAGGGCCCCCATCGCTATCACCACCGACGCGTCTGACTACGCTGTGGGCGCGGTGCACGAGCAATGGGTCGACGGCGCCTGGCAACCGCTCGCCTTTTTCAGCCGCCAGTTGACTCCCAGGGAGCGCAAGTACAGCGCTTTTGACAGGGAACTCCTTGGTCTCTATTTGGCTGTTCGCCACTTCCGTTTCCTGCTGGAAGGCCGGGAGTTTGCGGCGTTCGTGGATCACAAGCCACTTACTTCTGCATGTCCAAGGTGGCCGAGCCGTGGTCCGCCCGACAGCAACGCCAGCTTTTGTACATCTCTGAGTACACCACGGACATACGACACATCGCTGGCAAGGCTAACGTGGTCGCGGACTGCCTCTCCAGAGCGGTCATCGGAGCTGCGCAGCTGGGCCTTGATTACCTCCGCATGGGCGCTGACCAGGTCTCTGACCACGGGGTCCAGACCCTCAAGGCCTCGGTCACGGGATTACGACTGGAGGAGGTCATGGTCGGAGATTCGGGCGCAAAGCTGTGGTGTGACATCTCCACGGGCCAGCCTCGACCACTGGTCCCTGCGGACAGAAGTTCGTGTGGCAGGGGCTTAAGAATGACGTGAGGTCCTGGTTCGACTCATGCGTGGCCTGTCAACGGGCTAAGGTCCACCGCCATACTAGGGCCCCTTTTGAACTTTTTGCAACAACGAGGCACGACGGAACAACAGCCTGGCTCAGTGAGATGTTGAAGATGTCTGTGAGGACATCTGTGAGCTCAGCGGCGCAGTCCTTTAGCACACAACCTGGAATGTTGTCAGGCCCAGAAGCATAGACATATCATGTGTTAAAATGTAGAGTGTAGATTAGAAATGGTCACTGGGGAAGGAGGACAGTTAAACTTGTATTCATCCAGATAAGATGAATGTACTGTAGTGAAGGCACAGTAGTTAATGGTGTTACAAGTCAGAAAAAAACATCAATCAAGAAAAGGGATGGCAGGGTTTTGTTAGTGGGGAATAAAGCAGTTTTTGCAAAAAATGTAAAAGGCATGCAGCTGGTCATCTTTTTCACTATCGTATCTTTAACATCTTAGGAATATCCCAATCTTTTTGGATGAAACATAATTTTTACAGCTAAGATACAATTAGTGGAAAGGTTTTCGTCAAAGGATTCGAGGCTGGTTTCGTTTCTGTCCACATTCTAACGTGGTTTTCATTAGGTGAGTCAGACTGAGATAGTGGTAGACCACAGGAAACTACACAGGAAAAAACACATACATACAGATGTTATTGCAGAGAGAGTTTAGTTATTATTCGTCGACAAAGTAACATTATTTTCTGTTCATCTGTAAAAAATAAAGAATTTGTCCCTAGTTGGAGTGTTTATGTACGTGTTTTTTTGTTGTTTGTTTGGCCAAAAAAATGTTATTTGTTCTTACAGGCGTACTTCACCATCCCTTTTTTACTGAATTCTGTGTTCATATTTGTTATTTCCATTATGTTCATTATTTGAACAACAATATACAAACACTGTATATTATACTAGTTATTCTTTTAAGACCCACCCGTCCACAAGGAATGAAAGGGAGTGAAAAAAGGGAGGGTTTGTCATGAATCTGTCGAGCTCCAGTCCATCAACTGGATCCAGTAGGACTTCCTCTATCATTGTTTCAGAACGCTCTGGCTTTAAATGCGTTTCTTCCTGCCTCACTCGGTGCCAAACAGCTCCAGTAGAGAGGCTGCGTGATTCTCCTTTATTTTGTTTGTAGGTAAGTGGTAGAAAAACCTTTTATTTTTACAAATGCAAAGTTACATAATGATCAGCTGCTGTTGCTATTATGTTAGAGTATGTTGTTTATGAATGTGTATGTTGACCTGATTTAGCTGATGTTATTAACCCACTTGTTTACAACAGATACAAAAAAATATAAACAGTGAATTGTCGGAAGTAGACATAAAAACCTCTATCCAGCCACATGGTCAAAGCAAAACAGGGCGAGGCACTAGTGACATGAAAAATGGATGAAGTTACTGTAAATGATTTACTATTATAGATTCAGCATGAGTCGCAGGACATTAAGCAGGGATTTACTGGCAGTCCGGAAGTATGAGCGAGAATGACCACATATGGAGACCACAATATTTCATAGCATCGAGTAGAGCACTTTACCAGTTTGCTTCACTTAAAAGGGTCTTAAAATGTCCATCTGGAAGCTCGATGACCCATTTATCTAAACGCTCTCTTTCCTAAAACATGTGTCAAGTAAACAGGATAATGGTCATTTGGGGAATTTTTTGACGCTGAATCAGTTCCACATTTTGCATAGAGTAACAGTCTGGAGTAGCCACAGGGAGTTGATGAGTTTCATTTTAGGCTGTTCTCATGTTCATGGCCTGAACAGCATGACATCACATCCTGACGGTTCAGAGTCATGGAAAAAGGCCAATTATTGCCTAACTTCTTATTACAACTGTTTTCTTCGGCCCCAATAATCTGACACCTTAAGAATTAAAGAACCTTTTTCAGTATTAGCAAATCAACCAGGACTAAAATCTTAAGGAAGGTTTTTTTGAGAACCTGGAAAAGTATATCGCAAAATTATCAAAGCATCATGTTTCGTCTTGTATAATTTGCCTCTTTCTACTGTTTTTTTTTTCCTGTCAAAGACCAGTAACAAGCCTGTTGTTACAAGTCTCCAAAGTCACGCTCAGTTTTTTCCCTAGGGAGGAAAGTGCATTGTTCAAGTTTCTACAGTTTCTTAGCACTTGTTATGCACTTGAGTTTTTGCATTCTTTCAGTCACTTTGACGCCCTTCAACAAAAACTTCAGAGGTATACCACATTAAGTTAATGGTTATTTTACAGATTAAATACACAACATATGATTACCTAACACCATGATGCACAGTAATATATAAAACTAATAATAATAATGAATAAAATAAACAATACAATTATATCTTTACCAAATACAACAGTCAAAGTACTGCTTACTCATACTACTTAATACTTGGAGTATATGATAACATATATCATGTGTATGTAAATAATGTCTTAATAAGCCATTACAAATGTTTTTATGATAATGTATAAATGACAATGTGAAGACGGTTGTGTGGTTTTGTAAAGCGGATGTGTAACCTGTGGTCAGAGTGCTCTTCTTCTGCAAAGCTAAGTTAGTATGCGGAAGTGAAGCAGTGTTATAATTGTATTCCTCCAGCTGAAAGTGTATCAGTTTAACCAATAAATCTGAGTTGAGCTTAATAAATCCAGGTGCTGTTTAGATAGCTTCCTCTTTGCTTACATCTACATTTGATAAAATACGTTTTTTCCTCCTAACCAAACCTAAAAGAAACGAAGGAAATTAAATCTGGGCTTCTCAAAGTGGTTATGTGATGCAATAAAGGTTACTGTAAGTGCTTCTGGAGTAAGCTAGTGATAGGGAGCAAAGTGCTACTGGAGGAGGAATCTGATTAGCAATTTGAATTTGATAAACCTCGCGATCAGCCAAGTGAAGGGGAGGGCGTGAAAAACGGTTTTGAAGCCTCAGTATAAACTGGTTCCACATCTTCAATAGTCAGATTACTCAAATCAGCTTAAAGGACCTTGAAATTGAGTCTGGGCTTTTTGATAAGGTTTGGTAGTTGAAAAATATGGAGTATGTTCTCGTTGGAGAATCACAGAGGCAGAATTACAGTTTAGGATTCCTTAATCTGTATTTCTGTATCTGTATTGAAACTGTCCTTTTTTAAGACTGTAACCTTTTTGTTGACATTATATGTAAACTATGCGTGACATAAGTTGGAGGATGTGCTTCAAGACCTATGAAACAAACATTCAGTAAACTATTTCATTTCCCTTTTCCTTTAACCTGTTATAATATTTATAAAAATAATAAAATGACAATTTCTAGATACACCAGTAATCTTAGTTGTACAATGTTAAACCATGCATATCGAAGCATACCCTACTTCCCAAGCTACCACTACGTAATGAAAAGTGTTCACATACTGTTTGTGCTGTACTTTGTTTCGTGGAAGCAATACAATGCATTTTATGTTTATAACTACCTTTAAGACTTAGAGCCTTTTGATTAACCAACAAAAATACCCTTTTCTCATCCGCAGTACATTTTTTTCAAGATGGAAAAAGGATACCCACCACAGCAACAAGCTCCACCTTACCCTGGGCCGCCTATGAACTATGGCGGTGCAATGCCACAGCCAGGGCAGTACGCTCAGCCGGGCTACACCGCAGCACCCCCACCCATGTACCAGGGAGGTCTGTGTCTGCCATACTGCTTTCAAAGATGATCATTTTTGTAATGTCCTCCTAACCTTGCCCAGGATTATTTGAGACCAACAACACAATTTAAAGGGGCCCTATTATGGTTTTTCTATTGGCTAGCGCTCCTTCACATTATGCGTGACAGGCTTAGGGGCGGGACATCTCTAAGCTATTGGCCAATCACAACAGAGCCGGACAGCTAACCAATCAGAGAGCACTCTAGTTTCAGACAGAGGGTGAAAAGAGGTTCTGCAGAGAAAAAGAAAGCACTTTTAGGATGAAACATTCCCAATGGATGGACATTGTTTTCTTAACCTCCGTAGCACCGTATTTAAAATCTGCTCTTGCTCTGACATAAGGACACTGTCAAACATTCCTCATACACTTTCAGATTGAAGGCTTGCAGTGCTGCCTCTGTGCTGTAAACACTGTATAATATAAATAAAAGGTGCATTATTAAAGATAAACAGTCAGTTGAAGTTGCACTACACAGTGAAAGACCTTTCTTTAGGGAATACCCTTTTGTTATGACGACATGCAAATATGACTTCTAAAATGTAGCATAAAAGAGCCCCTTTAACGTCTTTCCTTTGTGAGAAAAAAACGTCTGTATAATAATGTCTTGCTTTGTAAAGCCTTAACAGAACATTGTATATACTTAAACACCAAAAAAGCAAAACGTGATGTATACAATGATAGATCAAAATCCCCAAAATATAAATAAATTAGATTACCACTATTGCACTTGTATGCGCTTTATGCTATGAATATAATAATACAGTACTTAAAGTACGGTAAAGTTGATTTAAAGAAATATCTGCTCTGATCTGACTTTCCTGATTTGATAAATGTTGTTTCATCTGCCAGATGTTGCCTATGCTCAAGCCACTGCTGTTCCTGCCACAACAGGTGAGACCAAGCACAATATGTCCTATCTGAAACACAATACACATACAGATAGTGAACATGTTTCTGTTCCAGCTTGTGGAGTTAGAACTGCCCCTGCACAGAGCCTCAGAGTCAGTGGGTGAAGTCCTCAGTTTCCTACTAAAGTTATCAGAAGAATAGTTCATTTGTTTCGGATGTGCAGAACAAAAAGCTATTGTCCACTGTCTTTTTTTGTGGCGTGCAGTCACATTTTGAGTATTTCTTGTTGCAACAGATGTAAGCTATTCCAGTTAAAGAACTTCTTTAGGTTAGCTCCAAATATAAATACATATAACAACATAATAAAGTGACAGTGGGCTTGTTTAATGAAGGATGGGTCAGATTAACACACATTTATTACATGGTTTAGTTGAATACTCGATTTTGAATGGTCAATTCAGAACACGTGACACGTTGTTAATCCAGAACAGACAGACCGCTGTCAAGCATTTATTGACCGTTGTTAAGGACGCTCACATCTGCACAAACAAGTCCATTTGATTTAACTGTAGGCTATACAGTTTGGCCGATTTTCTAACTGACAAGACAAGAGCGACAAGAAAACAGCAGAGAAGTAACGGGCAGAAACCCTCCTTTTTACGCAGCGGTCCAGACATAGACATCAAACGGCGACACATATTCAGTTGCCAGTTACTTTTCCATTAGGGCAGGGATATCTAGATACTTTCCAAGGTTTGACATAATGAATTGTGCTACTTTTAAAGCAAGCAGCGATGTTTTCAAATCTGTAATCAAAAAGCTCCTCAAAAACGCTATCGAAGCAGTTCCGTTGCTACGTTAGTTCAAACAGTAACAACGGACTATTTTTCTTAGCGGATGCATGTCAATTTAAATCAATACATACAACTATTTTTT